ATGAATATCAATATGAATTTATTAGTTTGTTAAAAAAGCTTGAAAATTTAATAAAAGGCTCCTACTATATTATTTCAAAGGCAGATGAAAAATATTAAAAATCCTTAGTCTTTTAATCTAAGATTTTAAAATGTGATACAAGATTCCTTATAAGATTATCTACCTTTATCAAGAAACAAATGTCTATAAGAAAGTCAAATTAAATTTTTATAAGCGTTTGAAATTCAAATTTTTAAAACATTGGATATTCACTCGATTTCTCATGTAGCGATTTCCTTATTTTGTTGTTATTCATAAACGAATAACTATAGATACATGAAAATTTCACTGAATGTTTATATTTGCATTTTCTATACACGATAACATTTTCAAAATATTTTGATTTATTTTGAACTGTTTAGGGACATTTTCATTTTTCATTTTTTTTTTAGTTTTTTTTCTAGAAATATCAATAAAATTTTATTTGTTGGTTAAAAAAACTTGAAAATGTAATAGAAGGCTCCTAGTATATTGTTTCAAAGGCAGATGAAAAATATTAAAAATCGTTGGACACAGTTTTTTTTTATAAGCATTTAAAGTTCAAAAATTGACAAAATATGGAAAAATCACGAAAATTAGCAAATTATTTTGAGTTAAAAATTTGTAAAAATTTTTCTTTTTAAATCTAATATTTTAAAATGTAATACAAGATTACTCATAAGTTTGTCTACCTTTATCAATAAAAAAATCTCTACCGGACAGTCAAATTAAATTTTTATGAGCGTTTGAAATTCAAATTTTTACAACATTGGATTTTCACTCGATTTCTCATGTAGCGATTTCCTTATTTTGTTGTTATTCATAAACGAATAATTATAGATACATGAAAATTTCACTGAATGTTCTAAGATTTTAAAATATAACACAAGATTCCTTATAAGATTATCTACCTTTATCAAAAAAAAATGCCTATAAGAAAGTCAAATTAAATTTTTATGAGCGTTTGAGATTCAAATTTTTACTACATTGGATATTCATTCGATTTTTAGTGTAGCGATTTTCTTATTTTGTTGTAATTCAAAAACGAATGAATGTAGATACATGAAAATTTCACTGAATGTTTATATTAGCATTTCCTATACACCATACAATTTGAAAATATTTTGACTCTTTTTGAGCTGTTTACGGATATATTCATTTTTCAATTTTTTTAGTTTTTTTTTCTATGAATATCAATAAAGTTTTATCTATTTTGCCAAAGAGTGTAAAACATTAATACAAGGCTCCTGATATATTGTTACAATATCAGTTGAAAAATATTTAAAATATATAGGCACAATTTTTTTTTTATAAGCATTTAAAGATCGAATTTTGACAAAATTTATCAAATTTAAAATTGAATAATTATTTTGTAGTTAATAATTTATAATATGTTCAACTTTTAAATCTAAGGATTGAAAATTTAAAACAAGATTCCACATAAGTAGTTTATTCTGTTACCTAAAAATCTAAAAAGTGCATACGCGCAGTTTATTTTATAGTCATTTTAAGTTCAAATTTGGATGAAATTACATTAAAAAACCTAGAATAACTATTTTAGTTATTTCGTTGTGTTTGTATAATATTATTCGTGGGTACTTGAAATTTCTAAAGTACACTATTATATATCTATGATAGTATCAGGGTTTGCTGTTGATGTATAACGCGTTATATGTAACTAATGGATATTGTGATTTGATTAATTTGGAATTTTGTTATAGGTATCTATTATATTTTAATAATAATATTTTTTTTTTAATACCATGGATAAGTATATAATATGTCTTATACCTACACTGACATACCATCTCCGCTCAGAATACTTGTAACCTACTGTACTTTTTTTTTTAATCCTTTATATTTAAGTCATGGAGTTTATTTTTTGAAATTTTTCTCATTATTTATTTGAGTTAATAATTATTTCAAAACGTAATAATAATAAATCTTAAACTATTTATTGTCTTTATAATTTAAATTTTTTTTGAATACGTTTAACCTGTATCATTTTTCCATTTTTTATTTGTTAGTTTTTCTGATATACACGCTATACAGTTTTAAATATCAAATTATATGCAATTATTTTGTATATTAAGATTTTCTTACCTTCCCAAAATAAAATGTCAATAAACAAATGCATGTCTGATAGATTAGTCGATATTACTGAATTACAGTTTTCAATGCATTTTGAATTTTCCTATATAATTCTATTGTCTAAATCAAACATATTTAGACAATAGAATTATTCAAATAAGTCCTTCAAATAGTTTACTGCTGTTGACTTGATAAGTAAGAAACATGATATTATTTTGAATATTTTTTGTTCTTATTCATTTTTCGTTTGAACATGTTTTAGTCTCTATGGCTGCAACATTTTTTTTATCACATGTCCAGCTGTTGTGTCACAAACAGCAAATGTAACGTCATAGTCTAGAGATTGTATGTTAACATCCATATAATTTATAATTAAATTACCTCTTTCTGAATAAGTCGATGATTTAATTCCATATTTGACAACATTAGTTATCAAATTTAGAAACTGATTATTTTGATTGTCAACTTTTTCAGCATACCTTTTACTATCGCAATAAGATACCTAAAAATATTAAATTAACATTAGCAATAATAAATTCATTCAATAAGTAATTAAACATTTATTTTATAAGACCAAATCGATATTCTAAAATATCTAAATTTATCAAATTTAAAATTGAATAATTATTTTGTAGTTAAAAATTTATAAAATGTTCAACTTTTATATCTAAGGATTGAAAATTTAAAACAAGATTCCACGTAAGTAGTTTATTTAGTTTATTTTTATAGTCATTTTAAGTTCAAATTTGGATGAAATTACTTAATAAAAAACCTAGAATAATTATTTTAGTTATTTTGTTGTGATTGTATAATATAATTCGTAGGTACTTGAAACTTCTAAAGTACACTATAATATATCTATGATAGTATCAGGGTTTACTGTTGATGTATAACGCGTTATATGTACCTAACGGATATTGTGATATGATTAATTTGGAATTTATTATAGGTACCTATAGTAGGTATGTCAATTTCTTTTTAATACCATGGATAAGTATAGAATATGTCTTATACCTAGACTGATATACCGACTCCGCTCAGAATCGTTTTTCTTATACAATGATATATCATTCAATTCAAATTTAAAACCATCCATTATAGAGTGACCCACTTGTAACCTACTGTACAGCAGAGCACCTTTTTTTTCTGTGAAGCTTTAAAATGTGTAACGTATATCTAAAATAACATTGTAATACATAGAAATATCATTACATTTTTATCATGTTTATAAAAAAAATAATATGAATAATATCACATACGAACTAATAATGTAGGTACTTTGTTATGACTTAGATATATAAATGTTTTGTTCTGGATGTTACTAAGATGGCTCTTTAATATTTTAATTTTATTACTTTCAGATATTTTTTTTTTTCTGAACATTATAGATGCGGATATTTTCAATGGTTACCAAATTGTAGATACTCCAAAAACTCATATTTGATAAAATGTTCACCATGTATATTTTCTATATTAAAAAATAATTAAACAACACGTTTTCCCGGTTTTATGTTTTTAGGTACGTAAATATAACATTTTTAATTTGCAATAATTGTATGTCACCCACGTGAAAATGTACACAACACATAGATATAATATAATCTTACAGTAATAAAACAAAAACGTACTTTATAAACACAAGGTTCAAATAATAATAGTAATTATTATTATTATACATGATAATATTATATATAGGTACGTATTGAGCGATATATAAAACACACTCCGGAAAATATGCGTTAAACAATATATAAGTACACAAATGTTATATAAAATGTAATAATATTGTACTTCAAACAATGAGAAACGAAACCCGAAAACCTCAACCGCAAGAGCGGTTAGTTAATAAAAATATTTATGTATTATATTTATTTTAACAATAATAAAATCATAATATCATTATAACTTTTATAATGTTAACGTTTAGAGCGCATGTTTGTTATCCCCCGAATTATTAAATATAATATGTGGGCCGTATAGTAATGTACAACTTTTTCTGTAAGTGTATAATATGTCATGTTTGTATTTCATGACTTTATAAGGCGATCATGGTGAAAACAAACTGCTCAACGTTTACGATAATAAATTATATAATATTTTGAAAACCTAATAAAATCAAGTTCCTCCGATTAATAATTATAATAATATTAACTATGTACATGAGTCAACGAACGAAAAAAACACATAAAATAATAATAACCAATGACAAAAATAATAATAAAAAAAAAATAGTAATAATAATAATAATAATAATATGAGCATTTTTCCACAAAAATAAAAATAAAAATATTAATCATAATATTATATTATAATAATAATAATAAACACGTTTTATTTTAGACAATACTTTTTGTCGTTCTATATACACGAAGACAATATTATACGTCACATTTTACGTAAAGGTACGTCCGGATAATATCGTAATAATAATTATTATCATTGCCGAAGTAGAAATATGACGACGCGGAGAAGAAGTGACCTGTTCACGCAACTATCGTGGCATTTGTATATAATATTTATTGGATGAAATTATGATCGTTTCCGCCACTCAACGTATCGACCACGCGTGCACAAATATTATACAGTTGTAGTAGTCAGTTGATTGATAGAGAGAGAGTGAGAGAGTTCAGTATTTATATAATAATAATAATAATAATAATATAAAAGTAATAATAATAATAATAATAATAATAATGACAATTCATCGGATCACCGCCAAAGTCATATCCATTATATCATATAATTATCATTTTATGTACATCGGTAATAGATATCGTATTATCTAGAGCAGCGGTGCGACTATATGAACAGCACCCTAACGATGGGTTTTCAGTTTTCCCGTCTGGTGGTCGGCCGTGCGGCGCCGTTCCGTTTTCCCCGGACTACTGAAGCTATTCGTCGTCGGCCACGTAGCCGGCGTTGGCCTTGGCCGCGGTCCCGTTACCGTTGGACAACACCGTGGTGCTCAAGGGCGCGGGCGGGATCGTCTTCTTGGGCTTCTTCTTTTCGTCCTGGCTGTAGTGAGCTGTCCCTTCGAGGGACATGGTCTCTTGCCTGTGAGAGTTGCGTACTAGACACCCGAGAGCCAACAGCAGCAGCACAGCTCCCGAGGCGAACAATGCGTACTGCAGTGCGGCCTTGGCCACTGGCGGCGTCTGCGTGGCCAGTTTGAGCAGTTGGATCACGTTGTCGGGCAGCTCATCGATGCCCTGAATTGGAAATAGGAAAAGACATATTATTATTATTATTATATTAACAAGTACGCTATGCGATATGCAGTTTGTTTAATATCTCAGCGATCTATCGAATAAAGACATCATTGAGCATCTGACAATATTTGCTAATAAGTAATAACGATAAAGAAAATCCAACACAAATTCGTATATTTTTATTTTCTACGATATTCATAATTAAGTTCAGTTGCGGATTTAACTATTTAAGTAAGTAGTCCAGATAGGCCTGTCCCATCCTTCATTAGTTTATAGCGTCGATAGAGCAATAGGGTGAATGTAAGTTCCCACAAGAAAAATACCAGGTAATAATCACCCACGTTTCTTAGCGGAAAAAAATACACCCGTTTGTAAAAATACAATAATTACTATATTATTATATAAGTTCCGACACAAATAAAAAAAACTTAAATATGTTATTTCTGACGTATTACCTAAGTTTATTTTCTCAGATCTGATTTATTTATTTCAATTCAATAAGCGTCATAGAGCCACATACACATAAATTGTTTGTAAAAATGAGTTTTGGGTTAAAAAAGAACCTCTCAAGCTACAGCTGTTATAGTTAAGACTTAAGAAACTACATTTTTGCACGATACGGAAAATTATATTTTCTGTGTCGTAATGTTTTTATTTTTTTAATATAATTTATTGAAATAGAAAAAAGTTCTTGTTTTAAAATCCGTTAATATTTTGATTTTTAAACTTGAAAACTTGAAATATTATAATATTACGCGGATACATTTTTAAAATGACCGTACTAGCATCTAGACTAGAGTAATATTATATAAACCTAACGTAAATTAGGTAGACAACTTCTCAAGTTACATTAGCTAAAAAAGTATTCGATATATCAAGTATTTAAAAAATTCTTTTTAAATAGTAGGTACTTTTAAGTTTGAATACACTATAAAAGTATTCTTATACAATATACATACATCTTAATCTACAACACTCACCTCTTCGAACCACATGATTGGAAACACAATGTCGGGGAATGTGGCCACTTGCTTGATGTCTACTACTTGACTTACGGCCAGATTAATTTGCACACGGGCTCTGGCACGCATAGCCACTCCCATTTCCTGTACAAACGAATATAACAAGTTACTATTGATGATTTTAAAGCATATTATAATATAATGGACACTCACGGGTTGTACGTCAATGTAAAACTCGTGGCGTTCAGCATCTGGCTCGTCCATTCCGTTAACAGCTTCCCGGAGTCGTGGGTCACCCATGTAAAAGTGAGGGAAAGACAGCAGCACTGGAGAGTCTGCAAACAAACACAGTATGAGTATCAGTACTTTAGCTCGGTAAACTCGCGAATGTGTGGATAGAGCGACTCACCATATTGGCACAAGCTCACGTTAAATGTGCCGTGAGGTGCACACTGTGGAGAATTCATTTTCGTCGACACCGTGGGCATTGCTGTGGTAGAGCTGCTGGTACCAGAAGTACTGTTTCCACTGGGACTGCTCAGTGAAGGGCAGTAGCACCGGTTCTCGGGCTCGTGGTCGGGGTCGGCAAACGCACGGTGGTCAGGACCGAATCGGTACGCTTTCACTCCTCCCTTAGCTTCAACTTGTTTCTTGAATCTGTGGGTGAGGAAAATTAAAATGTTTCATTAATTTCTTATCCGGCCCTCATACATTACAATTGTATATATTGACACTGAGTTCGCACAATAAGTTCAGACCTAATTTATTTTATATTTTTTCAATATTATGTATAGATACATTGTGATAAGTGATTTAATCAACTATGGGTTTTATAAATGACAATATGACTATAAAAAACTCGACAAAATTACAATACGGTATTTGTTTTCTAATAAAAATGTGTGTATTTACAAGCTATTATTAGGAGAATATGGAGCATTTGTATTCAGAATGTTTAGTGTGGGAGGGTGAGTGTGTGGGTCTCAGTTTGAATCACCCTTACTCAATGCTGCACTATAATATATATTGAAGCTATGGTACTCACACTAGGGGTAATTTTCTGCACATGTCCTTGTCGAAGACGTGTAGGATGGTGTCTGGTTGGATCCTGGGAGGGAAAAGGGAACCATCGCTTCCGCCGGACATACGGTTACAAGAATCGGTGGTCCAGTGCGGTAGGTGCGTGCGCCCGTTGAATTTGTCCAGAGCAGCAAACAACCGAATGTCTGTCGCCCCAGTAAACACGGTCATATTGTCACGTGAAGTTCCATTTTTCTATTGTCAAAGTGAGGTATCAGTGGAAGTCAGACGAGAAAATCCAGCGTGACATGCAAAGAAAAACAATACGTTTCGATTAGTACATTGTAACTGTGTGACGTACAAATGAATCATATTATAAATGACAATGCGGTGACGGCAGTGAATGTGTACAATATATATATTTCAAAACAGCAAACAAAAACAAACGGACAAACGGTGAATAGTGCGCGGTGGTTGCGAAAAAAAAATAGTAAAACCAACAGTGCAGTGTAGACTGCGGTTAGACGGTGTCGGTGGATAGGCTAAAACCAATGGTGGGCTGAAAACGACAAGAGCTTGAGTGTGTCTGCAGGTTTGTGGTCAAATTTCCTTGCTAGGAACAAAATTGCGGCTGCGGTGCCCGTGGTTTTGACAAAATGTTTTGGTCCTGACCGGCCGTCCCATCAGCGACATCCTGGTGATCCTGGCGGGGTGCACAGCTTGGTGCCAGCGCTCCTTCTGCAGATTGTAGTCCTTAGATATCGGCACTGTCTGGATAGCAGTCGGCCACTGGTTTCCACCAAGTATAATGTTGGTGCCGGCCGATAGGATTCCATCAAGCAGCGGACCGTCAGCGGACAGCAGCCGATCCAGGCGCAAGTATCCCAACAGTTCGGGCAGCGTCTTCACGTCGTACTGGTCAACGATGTACTGGAGCTATGTGGTGTACACATGACGCAGTGTTATGTACATATTATATTCAACAATACACTCTTCAAAGGCAGAGAGGTCATCATGGGAAAAATGTATGCACGAGTAAAATATACTTGCATTGGTAAGGTAAATCATTAAAAATAAAAAAAAATGTAATAAATATATTACGTTACTGAGTACGTACATAGAAATAAAATCGATTAAATTGTTATTTCGTTTTTAAAAAAGTAATTTTGTAACCTATATCAAATTTAAATCTGCTTTAAATTACTGCCTACACTGATTCATATTAAGGTAGGTAATTTATTGAATAAAGTAATATTAAACAAAATTCAATACAAGATATCTTGTACAGATTGTGACTTCCAGTGCTTGTTGAAAATCAGTCTCTTCTGTTGTTCAGTCACTTTTATCTTACGAATCCAATACGCGTGACACATAGAGCCGTATTAAAATTACCATTGCAGATATAGCATTTTTTAATACAGAAAAGTCGTTTATTGATCTCCATTTCATTAAATGTTTTACTCGGTTAGTACACGTTTATACCTATATACTAGATATAAATAGATCTATCTAGGTAGATATAAATATAATTATTACATATTTTCGTACATGTTTCTAAGTAATGATTTCCAAAAAAAATACCCAGTTTTAAAAATAAATAGTTTGTTCCAAAAAATAAATAAATATTTATTAGTTATAGTTTTCCCCTTTTATAGATAATAATCGAATAATTTTCGATATTTTAAACTACATTGAAACTGTAAGTTATTTCACGGGGATATATATAGGCAATTTGGATACATTATTTCAAACCATTTGTAACATAAATATTTCGAATGCATATCAACCAATATGTTATTAACAATACTTGGAAGTAGTCTGACATGAATACTACTGTATAGTATACTTTGTTGTATTCTAAACAACCGTAACCTACTAAGATTTCCGTTTGAATCTACGGAAATAATATAAAATGGTTATAAGGAGGAAAACCGATGTTATTATATTTTAATACTAAGTCTACAATGATTGTTGTAGATACCGACCCCATACAGCAGACCAAACTCTTCGTAAGGCAGCTTCTGTTCTTTGGGCACCACGTCCTTGGCCAGTTTTAAAAGCGGATCCTCGTAGCCCCACAGCAACTGACCGACACTCACCTCAACGAACGGTTTCACCTTAAGGATGTCCATGATGCTGGCCATGGCCAGTCTCAAGAACCGGGCGGCATGTTTGCTCTGTGACGTGGCTGACTGTAATACACAACGGTGACAACGGTTATAATAATATACTGCGAGGGTTTGTTAATCAGTAAAACTGTGTGGGTGGTATAATATAAGTATATAGGTAACTCACCAACATCGGGATGTTGGGCACCACGACGATATCATCTTCGGAACCGACACTCTGTTCGGGGTCGAACCTGTACACCTTTTGCTGGTTGTACGTGAGCGTGCCGTTGTCGTGGAATGTCAGGTTGACTTTTTCCCACGTTTCCCTGTGGAGTCAGAAAGCAGTTGCAAGTTATTTTTTAGTGTAAAATGTGACAAAATTACAAAATGGTGAACAAATATACAAGTTGTACCACTGTGAAAATTTAGCAACTTGATAGGTACACTATAAATATTAACGGCTTTACCAGTATACTATATATTATTTTATACTATATTTATAGTATTATACTCACACGTAGACGAACGGACCCAACTCGTCCAAGAGTGGCTTCTCGCGCACTTCACCGGGCGCGATCACGTTCAAAAACTCGTCGGCGTTGGTGACATTGTACACGTACACTTTTAACAGAGGTCGCACAGGTGGTTTGCGCCACATCTCGAACGTCTGAGACCCGGGCCGCAGGGTGATTTGCTATAAACAACAAGTGATCGATATAGGTCATTATAATTATGTAATTTAAAAATCTATACGGTAATAAGAAGTTATTATAGTCACATCTCCCTTCCCTCAAATTAAGTGGTGGAAGCGTAATGCGTATAATGTAACATTTCTAGCACATCATGACGCGCATAAATTAGAGAACTTTATAGTATAATTAGTAAGTATAGGAATTCTAGGCTCTATTTACAAATAGCTACAGCTCATATAGATACATTTTGTTAGTAAATAGGTATTTATAGGATTAACTTCTATAAATTACATAAGACTGTAATAATAATTATTATTAATTAAATATGATTGGTAAAAGTTTTCAAATAGATAGATATCTAGTCTTAATGTCCTAATAATAATTTATAACGCATAATTAAAATTGTATATGATTTATACTGATATTATCTATTTTTGAACTCTTATTCAACTTTCAAATAATCTAAATTATTATCGTTGTACAATGTACATTTTATAAAATAATAACAACCAAATTCATAAATTTCAAACAAACAACCAAATTGGAATTTATTAAAAGTGACAAAACAACATTAATTTGTTTAAACTAAAGTATATTTTCCGGGACTCACTATTGACTCATTAAACATTTAGTGATTGTTTATGCAACTCTGCAATATAATATTAATATATAATATAGAGTATAAATGTGACTTAATTAAAATAATTTGGAACACTGTTGAAATTGCTAGTGTACTGTCGTGCAAACAAATTATTGTTATCAAAGTGTAAGTTACTCTACAATTTTCCTCATTGTCAACTTCCTCCTCCCCCTTCTCATTTTTTGTCTTTAAGACGGTTCTGACATTTCGTGGAGAATCTATTGTCGGTGCGATATAGTAATATTATGTATCAATATTATTAAAATACTTACGTCATCGATAACCAGCTCGACTGCCGCCGTGAAAAATGCCACCACTAGGAGGCCACCGACCAATAGGGCTACGGCTATGGCAAGTACGACCCCTAAAAATAAAATATAATTATTAATTTGTATTGTACCATTGATTTGCTAAAGGGTATATTTATATAGGATATCATATATCATATATATTATCTATATTATCTATATAGTGAGGTTTAGGTAAATATATAATACGGTATCGATAACCATTGACCATTGTACAATAAATAAATAATATTCCTTTTGAAGCCCGGTCCGGGTTTTAGGTTTACATATATATCATATAATATTATGAATCCCCGAACAAAAGTCCGGTTAAAATTTATATTTATATTACAAAACCAAGTACATAGTAAAAATACAATAAAAATTAAAATATTAAATAAATTATCACATTTTTCAAGAAAGGTTTTAATTATAGTTTTATAAATTTAAGTTGCCTTTTAGTGTCTTATGTTCTAACTAACAATATACAGAGGTAGTAAAAAAATCAATTTTAGGAACTCGTATAACATATAAGCTGCATAAACTAATAGTAGTTTGATTTCCGGCATGATTATTGTTCTTACTAATTTTGAATTATAAATATCTTTCAATGTACATAATACTGCAGCATAACACTTGTTTTATTTTTCATGCTACATTTTTATCGTTAACTATTAATTAGTAATTTATGTTGAATCGCTTACGAGAATCCACTGTACACTATTTTACCTGTACCTTTTGTTTTTTATTTAAAGATTTCGCTCATTTTCATGACTACAAAAAAACTATTAGATTTAAATATACACTAAGGATTTTACAACATTTACAATCGATTATCTACAGACTGAGTATTTGATATAATGACCAAACTATATTAGACAGGGAAATTTACTTTTAAAATTAAAGAATGATAAGTAAAGATTAGATGTAATAAATTTGTAATTTACGAGTTTACGACTTTCCGATTAAAGTGATAATCTATAACATATAATATAATATGGTTCGATCCCTAATACTGAAATATAAGTAAAGATTAGGTTACAAAATTCAATTAAGTCATCTACAAACAAAATATAATTATTAAATTCGGTACTTTTTTACGCCGGACTTTTTTTTGTCTGTATTTTAGGTAGAATACCTAATATTATACACATATATCAGGTTATAAATTCAAAAAATCAAACGCCTAGAACGCGGAACGAAAGCTGATTGTTTCAGTCTAGATAGTAGTTATAATAATGTAGTTATAGTCGACATGAAGAAACCGGCCCCGGAGTCGTCCTTGCCACGGTACGCGATGTCACGAGCGCGGAAGCGGAAGTGGCGGCGGCCAGGTTACTTGCCTGCCACTCGTCCATATACGTACAGAGGGATTGTACATGAACGTACGACGATATAATATGTTGTTTATTATTGTATATAGAGACGATGCATATGCTCTATGACGGCGGCTTGTACCATTGAATCACCGTCGACGGAAATATGGATTTCCGATGATTTCCAGTGGTAACCTTTTCCCACAATAATCGACCGTGCAGAGTCACTTCCGCCGACCCCGAATTATCATTATCACGCGTATAAATACGTAGTCATCGCAATCCGAGTGCCGACCTTTCAGGTTTCAGTCGACGCGAAAACCAAAATAATTATAGTATTATGCACATTTTACAAGCGGCGGCGGCGATGCTTAAATTAAATAATATATATTGGAATGATGAATCAACGGTCAATGATTATGGTGATTTTTTTTCAGAATAACATTATTATCATCGATAAACACGTTATAATAATAACAACTATTTTCATCCCAATAACACAATAGTAAATTGTGTATACCAACCACAAGGCTGGGCTGAACGAATTTATCAAAGTCGAATGATACCTTTTAATTAATAATTTCGGACTTTGAATTTTTGTATTGACAGTATGATGGACAGCACTTTGACTAATATAAAAATGATAGGTTATCTTTTTCAATACACTTAAAATAATATATTTATGCTCACGTTTTCCCTGTGATATAAGCTTTTTTTATAAAAAATATTGGTGATTGTATAAAGCCATGGGATATTATTTAACATTGGTAATGTATGAACAAGTTTGATTTTTTTTTACTAAAAAGTCTTTGCTGTTGCGCCCTCATAACAAGTTGGCTGCCTTGAGCATCATTTTTGAGGCTTGGGTTTGCAGTAACATGTTAATTGGTGATAGCCGATAAGTGAGTATCATATTGATACCTACTCAAGGTAAATTTAAAATGTTAATTTAAATAATGGTAAGGCAGTCAACTTGTTGCAACTCTATGTTTTCTGATCGGATGTGACCTATAGGCTATAAGGTTAAATATTTACTGACTTCAAATATCCATAATATAGTACGAAAAAAAATTATTTGGACCCACTTTGTAAGCAAAAATAAATAATTAATAATAAATATTATTCTATACATCGTAGCTATATCCTGAATGGCTAAAAGGGCTCTTAAATTGATGCTATAACTGGAGGCCACGAAAGCAATTAAATCGAGCTGTCAAAACGTGTTTCCGTCGATGGTGACTTGTAATAGAACAGTGATTTATTTTATTTTTACATAGATAATCTTTATTGATGTTTCGCTAGAGATTTTTTTATCACACTTCCAAATATGCACATCTTGTTTTTAATTTGCAATTGAAAATAGTGATAATTATTTTTTTCACAACATAAATAAATGGAATTTAACACTAAAAAAAATAATCTTACACAAAAAAAAAATGAATTAAATTCTCTTCTTTCCAACAAATAAAACAATATTAATCTACACGCGAGTCACAACCGATGAAATGTGTAAAACGAATATTTTGAAACATCCTTTTCATGATAACAATAAAATGAAAATAAAATATACCATTGCCGTGTAGATTTCTATGAACATCTAAACAAAATAATATTATATTGCCTACGTAAAACCCCTTATGAATCGTTATATTTTTGCGCCCGTATAATTAATCTAATACCAATATATTATTGTTCGAGGTCGGTTTCGCGAACCGTGCAAAGGCGATGCAGAGTTTGATTTTAGCGTGTAAAATTAGGAAAATTAGCAGTTCGTTAAGAAATTGAACTCGATTTGGACATGTGTACGGTCATATAAATAATACGTTATATACTTTATTATTATTATAACGAGCGTGAAGCGAACCACTTATTATATATATATTAAAACTGCTCTGCCGATAATGATATACTTATTATGTTATGGAAATAGAAAAGCGTCTATCACATCCACGTGTCTATATAGGTATATAAGCCATTCGTATTCGACGTAGGTAGGTATAAACCACGAGGAGTCCAACCGTAAAAACAAATTACTCGTCGGCCGTACGAGCGAATAAGGAGTTATCTATAGCGACTTGTTAACCAGGTTATCTTATATTGGGAAGGGGGCAATAGGAGGTCTTCCCTTCGATTCACTGAGCAATATCATCGATCCCATTATTATTTGCGTGACACGCGTCAGCGTAATATTACAATATTAATAAGCTACGAATTGGACGTTCTGTATACGTCTTGTCCTCGGGCCGGGTTATAACCTAGTTAATACGACTATAGTATTTTACACAACCGTCGCAGTCATCGCGAGTTTGTACGGTCGTAAATAGTCGTGTAAGCCATGCAAACCTGGCGAATAATTATTGATATTAATTTATGATGATGATGATGATGATGTTGATAATATATGTGGTATCTGCCGAGGACATCACGGACTACCGCGGTCACCGAGTATACCTGCTATTACCCGTGGTGTGTTATAGGTACCTACCATTAATTCGCTCGATGTCCTTCTCCGCGAAAACTAGTATATTGGTAGGTATATCTACATATTGTTATTATATTATTGTGAATTCCATGACATTCCGGTTTTCTTTTTTAGTTTTTTCCCGTATATCACATAAGATATATCATTATTAATTTTAATATAATGTCATTGTATTATTATTATTATTATGTACTTAAATGGCAAGAAATACGATTCCTAATATGGTAGTTTTTTTTTGCTTGATCCAAGAGTGGTGTTCACCTTCAAAAAAAAAAAACCCTCAAATTGTAAACACTGCCAAAAACAAACAAACAAAACGATGATTTTCCACCGATTTTTTTCTCGCTTCCGTCCCTATACCGGCGTAAAAGGCCACACAGCCGTCGCGTGACAGTCAGAGGTCAACAGTGGTTTTTATTACTATCAAACATTTTTTCCACACGCCACGTTTCGTTCCGCCGAGGAGTAATAAAAACAAAATCGAAAATACGACAAAAAAATGTCACCCAACCTTCCCGCTTTGCACACGGAATATTACGAAATACTTACCATGTTATTATTATTATAAAGGAACAATGACTGTATACGCTACATACCTGCAAGTTGCAGCAATAAAACAATTATATGCGATTATTATATTATTATTATGTTATACTATGTATTGTGCACACGCGCGCTGTAAGCCGACATTTCCGAACACGGTCTGTATGATCGTCGTAATATATTTACTATTACGTACGGAGATGAGATCGGAGTATCGTTTTGGTGTCATCAGCGAGCGGTGTCCGTGACCGATATGAGACGAGGCTCGGGCGAGTTGTCGTGATGAAAACCAAAAAATATGCAATAGCGAAATTCCACTGACACATGACGTAATAATTATGTTAGAGTATGATTACAACGCGTCTCCTAGGCCAACAACGACTCAAGTTGTCATCAAAATAGAGAATAATATTTTCGCTATCCTCTGGCGGTCATTATTCATCTTTCAAACATCTATAAGACCATGTCTTGAGAATGAAAAGGTTCTGTCGTTTTGAGTAGTGACTTTTCAAAAAAATACTCTTTAGTTTTCAGCTAATTATTACACAGGTAAAATTTTATAATTTTTGAACCCTATATAAATATTTCCTACCCTATTATTGTCTGAGAAACCCAAAATAGCTCTATGCAGCTCAAATATAAATTTAATTACTTTCAACACACTATAATAATATAAAGAACTTTTTATCAGTGAAATAATATATTATAGAGAGATTTAGGAATAAAATATATTATC